TAGGTCGCCAGCCACTGAAGGTAGATCACCATGCTAGGGGGGTCCATGGGGACTTACAGTACTTTTGCTACCTGCATGGACCCCAGCCGGATTTACATCATCCCTTCCGCTGTTGGCGATTAATGACAAATTTAGCCAGATTAAACAAATATATATACTACGATTAAAAAAGGGCAGAAATAAACATACTTTGAAAGAAGTGGTCTTACATACAGGGGGACAATAATTTTACACTACGTTCACCCCCTTCGAGGACATAGCCACTTTTGGTGACTTGATTCCATACATGTACTACAAAATTGAAAACCAAACTTTACTTGTTTGAAAAATACACTTAAATATTGGTGTCACAGGAACTTTTGTTGTTGAGTATATATGGGACTGATATTTAATCATAAAAGTGTGGGCTGGGGAGATTGGTCTTAATTAGACTGTATCATATTTTACCGACCCCTCCATTGTAACAACCCATTATAACAACAGAGTGAGTGAGTATGGTTTTACGCCGCTTTTAACAATATTCCAACAATATCACGGCGGGGGACAACAGAAATGGGCTTCACACATTGTACACATGTCGGGAATCGAACCCGGTTGTCGGCGTGACGAGCGAACACTTTAACCACTAGGCTACCCGACCGCCCCTTGTAACAACAGCCCTAAAACACCAACAGTGAGAGTTTGTTAAACAACTTTTTCTACCCTTCATGACAATGTCTGAAATTATGGTGACGAGTTGGTAAGGACAAGGAAATAGTTTTGAAGCAGTTTAAGACGAATCGTCTCTTTCGGATTTATGTCTACTTCGCATTTCATCGGTACCATTTTGCAGTACGGACTTTATTAGATATGGTGGACTCAGGTGATTGCGTGTCGCCATACACTAAGGGAACGGAACGGGGCTCTAAACTTGTTCATTATATCACTCACTAGTTTGCCTGATTCCATTATTTATAGACCGCCGTCATACATTTGGAATATTGCTGAGTGCGGCGTCTAAAGGAAACTAAAATCAGTAAAGCGCTCATAAAATATCTTGACACGCACCAGTAAGCGAGGCTATTGACAGTTCACTCACCTGCGGGATACCCCCATTTGAGGACGTGTTGCCCCTGTAGATTGGCCAGTCGCCAAATCCGTAAAATATAACCATGTTTTCTCCAAAGAATTGATCATTCTTGTTTGTAACGATTCGATAGGCTGTCAAGTTTAAAATAGTCCCGTGCGAGTCACAACCACCGGAAGGTACATTCCACACGACGAAAAAAGGCAGATTTGGCAGCATGTAGGGTGCTGTGCATCCTTTAGCAGCATCCCTCGGACTTCTCGCGAGAGTTGGGGGAGAGGTCAGACATATAAGGACAGCTACAAGGCAGAATAACACCAACATTGTCTTCTCGTTACCGCCCGTTGCTGTTTACAACTTCCTGCTTCCTGCACCGATCATGTGACCTCGCGAGTCACATGACCATTGTAAACAAACAACTCGTAGCTCCACGAGCTTCAGATGGGGACGGCTTATACCACTGATGGCCCGCCACGTGTGCCGATGAATAGTTTCGTGAGCTGACCCACATCACCGTGTTGTTGTTGGGACACCAGAAATGGGCTTTCACACATTGTTTTTTCTTTTATCACTTTCTTTCTTTCTTTTGTTGTTGTTGTTGTTGTTGTTGTTGTTGTTGTTGTTGTTTAACGCCTCATCCAGCGCAATATTCCAACTTTAGGACGACGGTCTGTAAATAATCAAGTCTGGAGCAGACAATCCAGTGATTGATATCATGAGCATCAATCCACGCAATTGGGATACGATGACATGCATTCACCAAATCAGCGAGTCTGACCACCCGATCCCGTTAGTCGCCTCTTACGACCAGCATAGTCGCCTTTTACGGCAAGCATGGGTTGCTAAAGATCTATTCTACCCCGGCTCTTCAGAGGTCTATTTCTTTTTGAGGGTACAGGTATACTCATGTGTATTGTCACATTTCAAAGAGAAAAATTGATGGACAATATAATTACGTTATGAACATATTATTAGCGTGAACATTGGACATAGGATAAATCTTATCTATTTTTTGGTTTTGTTTGGTTTGTTGTTTTACGCCGCACTCAGCAATATTCCAGCTATATGACTGCGGTCTGTAAATAATCGAGTCTGGACCAGACAACCAAGTGATTGACATCATGAGCATCGATCCACACAATTGGGATCGATGACATGTATCAACCAAGTCAGCGAGCCTGACCACCCATTACGACAAGCATAGTCACCTTTTACGGCAAGCATGGGTTGTTGAAGACCTATACTATCCGGGAATCTTCACGGGTCTCTTATCTATGTACACAGATTGTGACATGAAGGCCAGAGGGTCATAAACCGTCCGTATTTGCATTCTGCACAGGCAGTGAATTTGTTGAAATGATAAGAATTTGTTAACATAGTCTTGAGACCATTCATATATCGGTAAGCTTTGCTTTAGTAGATGTATAACTTAGTGCGAATTAAAATCAAGTTTAGGACTTCATTTTGTATTTCGTTTAATCCAAATATGACATTTTGCTTATTTATTTCAAGTTTTGTGCCCGTAAGATTTTCTATTCATTTCATCAAGCTGTGCCTTTATGGTACATGGGTACATTCAAATAACAGATCTGATGGATGATAGATTCAACTTCAACATCACAAAAAGTACATACTGGTGATGGGTTTAGTTTATAGATGTATAAGTCTTTATTAGCTGTGAGAATTCTATGGGCCACTCGGTATTGCAACCATTTTAGTTTGGTGCTATCGGTTTAAAAAAGCAATGTACAGTAAACTACGTTTATACCGAACACGCTTATAACGAACTTCCGGATATAACGAACAGTTTCTTGGTGCCGTCCATTTTGTGTGTATATGTTGTACATATGCTTATAACGAACTACGGTTAAAACGAATTAGAATTAGTGGTCCTTTTGAGTTCGTTATAACCGTAGTTGACTTAATTATTTTTTTTCCATAAATCATCAGTTATTTCGGAATAAATTTCATTTTCCCTTTTTGTTTCACTGCGATTTTGTTTTTTGTAAATTTGAATAAAATATATTGCATCCTTTATCTTCCTTAAAATAGTATCTCTAAATTTTGAGGAAAAAAGGGCAATTCTACTCGTTTTTCAAAAGATATCGATTTGGTATGTGCATATTGCTGAAATCAAACCTGCGTTTGATTTTTTGTTGATACAGATCAGTGAATTTATCATAACAAAAACGTACCGTCGTATTTCAGACAATCGTTAACAAATACAACATTTGCTTTTAAATAATGCTTATATTAATTTGCCTTATTTTCTATTTTGATATTATCATTTGTCCATATATATTATGAGCGGATATCTCTACATTCTGTTTGTATTAATGAAGATTCATAAACATCTTTCCAAAAGGGATTTCCATCTCTGTTGGGTGCAAGGTGTAATTGCGAATAAATATGTCAATTAGATGTTTGAGATTTGTGTTTTTAGTGTAAGTACTTCTTATCCATGATATTTTTGTGCTTGGTACTCGAAGCCCACTATCTTTGTATTCGTTTGTCTGACCGCCTCCGTGGTCTAGTGGTAGAACGGAAGGTCCGGGGTTTGATCCCCGGCCGCGTCATACCAAAATACGTTAAAAGATGGTACTTGTTGTTACCCTGTCTGGCGCTCGGCATTTAAGGGGCTAAAACAAGGACCGCTGACGCAAATCTGCATTTTGTAACCTATAGTTGTACAAATAATGAATTCAAAATGCCTACCGACAGACCCGTGAAGATCCGGGTACAATAGGTCTTCAGCAAACCATTCTCGTCGTAAAAAGCGACTATGCTTGTCGCAAGAGGCGACTTACGGGATCGGGTGATTTATTTTTAATAAAAAACAACAAGAGCTTATGTCAATGTTGTACAAATTGTCCCAGGTTATTGTAACTTACTGCAATCTCTACTGCCACATAACAATATAACTAGGAATCTCCCAGAATACCTGGCCGCCATATGTGTTTGAAATGAGTGAGTGAGTGAGTTGGGTTTAACGCCGCTTTTAACAGTATTCCAGTTATATCACGGCGAGTCAGCTTAATGTTGGAGGAAAGCCCGAAGTGATGCAGGTCTCAGACGTTTACCACTTCGGTGAAACCCACGAGCACGGGTATGGTGCTGACAAACCTAGAAACATAATTGGGGCGAATCGGGATTCGAACCCACAATCATAGGTTTCTGGCGTGCCCAAAGGACGCACATCTGCACAGCGAATCGCGGCGCCTTGGACGACATGGCCACCCGTGCCCCCCATGAATCTATGATGTTACATGTGACGTGTTAATGAGTTTCGGTTCACACAACATAACAGTATGTTCGAATTCGTTAGTGTATCGAATCAATCTAATGTCTAATATATTAACCAACATGTGTTTCATTTGTCGGGCAGTTTACTATTGTGTCAAACAATTAAAATTTGAACAATAAACTGCTTGTGGATGAAGATACAGCTCTCGGCACCAGAGTTTTGATGGCGACAGACGCTGTAAGTTTTCCTTGGTTGGATGTAGCATCTACTGGTTTACCCAACACCGATGGTGAAATGGGGTTTAAGATTATTGTACTCATATAGTGATGTGCATGCACGTGTCCGTGTGCGCGCGTGTGTGTGTGTGGCTGTACTAGTCCGGACTTGTGCCGATTTATAGTGCTAGCTCACTGAGATACCATGCCGCAGTTTAACATGAATACCCCACTCAGACACAGTATACTGACCCCAGCCGACCAGTCCTTGTTTTAGCCCCTTAATGCCGAGCGTCAGACAGGATAACAACAAGTACCATATTTTAACGTCTTTTGGTATGACGCGGCCGGGGATCGAACCCTGGACCTTCCGCTCTCCGGGCGGACGCTCTACCACTAGACCACGGAGGCGGTCTGACCCAACAGAACAGCCGGGGGCAGATGCACTGGTATTGAAGCAAAAGGTAAGAAAAGATAAAAAAAGTTGTTTTTTATTGTGTCACAGAGGAGACAGGGAACATTTACACACAGTATAAATTCATGTAAATGTGCACATTTATATATATCTTTCTCTCTCTATATATATGAACAGAGACGGTGATATTGCCAAGGTTGCCTATTGCACATACGCACACATACATAATATCAAGTAAATGTCACCTCTCTCTCGTTTTAGAGAGATTTCTAGTGTAAATGGAAAGGAATGTTCGCTTTTATTTGACATAACACTCTAGATAACCACAGAGGCTTAAATGGTCATGGCAAAGACATATTTCATTAATACTCTTTCTGCATAATGCATGCTGATATAGATGGATTTCATATTTTGTATTCGACATGTTGCACACAGATATGTGGTTGAATGCTGCTTCTAACATCACGTCAGTTAGATCATGGCTTCCACAGTTATGTCCATTAGCTGCACAAGACAATAATATATAAAATAAATAAATAATAAAATATCACTTAAGTAGCAATACACAATATTAAGCAAGTGTTGATCGCAAAGTTTCGCAACAAGCCACTGACACAGTGCATGTCTAAACCCTCAAATATGCACCCATCCCAATACTTCTTTTATTGAGTGTTCGATTTTAATTCTTGCTCTAGTTTGCCTGTCGACTGTGGAAGGTGCGTATTTCAAAACATTAGTAACATTTCAATAAAACATCATAATCACATGTTGTACGATAAGAATATGCAAATAGCAATATCAAAAATATGTCATTGTTAAAAAATAGAAAGTGTAATACAAACGCGTTTGTGTGAGTAGTGTGAGGAAGCAAAAGGTCACTGCCGTGACGATACATGTCCGCTCTGTTAATGTGGTGTGAAGAGGCTATATCACAGGCGTCATCCAAGTCACAGATCTTTCACGTTTCAACACCCTGAGATTCAAAATCTACCGCAAACTGTCTGTGGTGCTATAAATACATGCACTGAATGAGTGAGTTTGTTTTACGCCGTTTTAGCAACATCCCGGCTTTATGACGGCAGGAGACACCATAAATTGACTTTACACATTGTACCCATGTGGGGGAATGTGTATAATAGCTAGGGACACCAGAAATGAGCTTCACACAATGTACTCATGTGGGGAATCGAACCCGGGTCTTCAGCACGGCGAGCGAACGCTTTAACCACAAGGCTACCCCACCGTCACTCTTATAAAACATGATAAAAAGGTGTTCAGTTTCCACATTGTCATCAGAGCGAGCGAGTATGGTTTTACGGGACTTATTCCAGCAATACCACAGCAGGTGACACCAGATATGGGCTTCACACATTGTACCCATGTGGGGATTCGAACCCGGGCCAGCGCCGTGACGAGCGAACGCTTTAACCACTTGGCTATCCCTCTGCCCCTTATTGTCATCAGAAATTCCCACTCATCTGATGTAATACTCTGGATAATCGCGGAAGGTGAAATGACCTTGAGACACATTTAACTAACACTCTTTCTGTGCAAACTCACATCAGTACATGGTTGTCTTTTACACAGGGGTGGGACTAAAACTACACCTGAACACTCATGATTGTCTCTAAAGGATACTTGAATCCGGCAAAGGTCTTTCATATGCAGATAGATATAGATGGATTTCCATTTTTGTATTCTATATGATGCACACAGATATGTGGTTGAATGCGGCTTTGAACATACATCATATCAGTTAGATCATGGCTTCCACAGATATGCATTGTATCCAGTAACTGTAAATAAATGAACGGGACGCAAAACAGCAAAAACGGGCAAGGAGATATGCAAAACACATATGTCCATAACTGCACAAGACAGGGTTAATAAAATGTCACATTAGTAGCAATAAACAAATACTATTAAGCAAGTGCATTTCCAAACCCTCAAGTTTCGAATGTATCTTGATATGACGTATTTATCCACCCCTCTTAATTCTTGTTGCAATATTCACCCGACCACCCGGGCAGACACCTGCACACATAATAGTCGTACTTCTTCAGTGTGGGGTACCTCCCCCCGAACAACCCCCTCCTCCTGCCCCCGATATCCTCGTACTCCTCCCTCGGTCTCACGCATGCCTCCTTCTCGTACAGACGGAGGAAGTTCTGGGTGGAGGCCTCGAAGTCCTTCCTGATACAGCGGCCGTGGTTGTTGCAGAGCTCGTTGGCACATGCCTGGGTGAAGTCGGTGAGGTTCTTGACGAAGGGGCCGAGGACGTTGTTGATGTCGTCCTGCATCTTGAGACATTCATCCTTCGTGTGGAAGAAATTATGACTTCCCCAGATGACCACGCCGGAAGCCCCCATAGCGGCTGGTTCCTCGATGGCTACCTTGAGGTCATCCTGGAAGCAGAGTGAGTGAGTGAGTTAATTAGGAGATAAACATGCTTGGCTACCTGCAGATCTTACAGCGTCCAGAGCTCCAGATAAGCTGCGTATCTGCGTAAAATACGCATCAAAAATGCAGAAATACGCAGTAAAATAAAATCCAAGCGTATCAAATACGCAACGAACATTACAGATTCCCTACAAAAATAAAACTTGTGGGTATCATCAAAATATTGTGAAGTAACCCTGCGTATTCGATTAGCAAATCAGCAACTTATTTTGAAATTATAAACGGACATTCCGTCAAGCTTGCCAAACTCCACGATGACAGTTACATCATGATCATTTGCCATCACACTTTCTTGTGGAAGTATCGTAGTATGTTTGAGTCCTATAAAGCTCTCGAACCCACACGACACCAGTTTGCCGGGACTAGATGAATAGTGTTATTAAATATTTAACTTAAATACCAACATGTGTAAAAACTAGTGGGTAACAGAAATTTGAATACCCAGATAGAATTACTGATACCCAATGATTTTAAAATGCATGAGTAAAATACCCACAACACCAAAAGCTTATCTGGAGCTCTGCAGCGTTAATCAAACATTTGAAATTTCACACACAGACAATGACTGAGAAAGATGCATTTTGTTTTACAATTATTTTCCGTGTTGATGCGGCCGCCAAATCAGTTGATTCAATCAGAGGTGATTTTTGTGATTTGATACCTTTGATTGACCAATCAGAATAAACTATTTGCTGAATTGATGGCATCTTTCCGAGACAAGGGAGTTAACTGACTGTAAAAGTCATTTCGGGGTTCGATCGTAGCGCCACCAGTGGCTATTACGAGTTATGTCCCTTCTATATCCCTCCTGTTGACCAATTAGATTCCACCTCTGATATCACTTCATCAAACAAAATGGCGGCGCCCAGTGAAGACGATCTGATCAATAATCTTGATCTATATTGTAATAAAAAGGTTCTAACTTCGCGAAGTACATCAAATCACGTGAGCACATTGATCGAAGGTACACATGCTTTGCAAATCCTGCAATCGACCGAAATCTGAACAGCAGTTTATGAACCAGATGTTGATTTCGCTAGGCGATTTTGATTTGGACTATGCATAGACTCGTTAGTCCAGCCAAAATAGAACTCCATAATTCCAGCCTAGTTCAGCAAGGGTTGAAACTGGACTTTTATAGTCAGTTAACTCCCTTGCCTCAGGAAGATGAATTGATTGCAGACAGTCAGCAAATGTACTAGTATATATAAGTGACCTGTAAATAATCGATTCTGGACCGGTCATTGGTCTCAATGTTATATCCTGTCTGGTTAATACCACTTCCATCGAATATCAGGGCGGCCAGTAAGTCAGTGCTTGATATTATGTAAAACAACTAATACTTGACACACCCAATCCTTTTTGCCATGCTTGTCGTAAAAGGCACCTATACTTGTCGTAAGAGGCGACCGGGATCGGTTGGTCAGGCTCGCTGACTTGGTTGATGCATGTCATCGATCCCAACTGTGTGGATTGATGCTCATGATATCAATCACTGGATTGTCTGATCCAGACTCGATTATTTACAGACTGCCCCATTACATAAAGCTTGAATATTGCTGAGTGTAGTAAAAACAACAAACCAACCACCCAACCTTTTTGTTGCCTTTAACAAGAATAGGTTACTGGGGACCAACTCCATCTGGGAATCACAACGAGGGGGAAGCAGAGAAATACTCCTCGGTTAATCTTTGAATAAACAATTTGATCCTTGATATTTGACAGCCAAACTATTGATTGGACTCTTGGTCGAGTTATTTACTTAAACAACTCCATGACATTTTTAGCAATATTCTAGCCATACAACAGCGGGTGAAACCAGAAACTGGCTTCATGCTTTAACCATAATAAGTTCTTCAAACATTCTGCAATTACAGAGGTGCACCTTCCAATTTGTCCAATATACTTGATCCTCCCTGGCCACCCCTTAACTGATAATGGTCGCGTGGTTCTCATCCTGACCACGACTGACATGTAAGCACACTGTGAGTGAGTGAGTTGGGTTTAACGCCGCTTTTAACATTATTCCAGTTATATCACGGCGAGTCAGCTTAATGTGTGAGGAAAGCCCGAAGTGATGCAGGTCTCAGACGTTTACCACCTCGGTGAAACCCACGAGCACGGGTATGGTGCTGACAAACCTAGAAACATAATTGGGGCGGACCGGGATTCGAACCCACAATCATAGGTTTCTGGCGTGCCGTTGGGACGCAACTCTGCATAGCGAATCGCGGCGCTTTAGACGACTGGGCCACCTGTGGCCCCCTAACCACACTGTGCCTGATTCTAAGAGTACCACTATTACTCCGTGAACGTGTGACGTTCACGGAACTGACCTTCTGGAAGAAATCTGTTCCGTTGTCTTGACTCAGGGTGTACGGCATGATTGGAGTATTGAGCCCAGCCCATTTCACCTGCACTCGGAGCGTCTCGTTCACCGTCTGTCTCACGTACAGGTAGCGGCTGTGTATTGGTGTGTTCCGATTGGTGTAAATCCGGGGGAAAAGGCCTGTGTTGGTTGAGAACAGCCACCCCATGCTGCAAGGCAAAGTTATGTATCCACTCTGTATATATCTTACACAGTGATGAAGAGAAAATGTAATGCTTACAGAGTTCCTAGAGGAAACTGCGTACAGTTTATGAACACAGAAAAAATATTATCTTAATCTTCCCAAGACCACAGTGATTACTTCGTCTTCGGAAATTCACAACGTACAAGATGGAAAGGCAAATAAATAACATCATCAATGAGAACAAGGATGCCCTCTATTTTAGTGAGTAAGTTGGAGGATCAACAAATTACATCATTATTATATACTAAATGCTCAGTATCACTAAATATACATAACTTGTAGTGAGTGAGTGAGTGAGTTGGGTTTAACGCCGCTTTTAACAGTATTTCAGTTATATCACGGCGTGTCAGCTTTATGTGGGAGGAAAGCCCGCAGTGATGCAGGTCTCAGACGTTGACCACTTCGGTGAAACCCACGAGTTTGGTGCTGACAAACCTAGAAACAAAATCGGGGAGAACCGAGCTTCGAACCCACAATCATAGGTTTCTGGCTAACCGAAGGGACGCAACTCTGCACAGGGTATCGCGGCGCCTTAGACGACTGGGCCACCCGTGCACCCCTCTATTTTAGCTTTACTTAACTGCTACATCAAATTAACCGTAACATCGTCATTTTGATTTACTCTGTGTCTGTGTGTTGTGTGTTGCGTGTGTTGTGTGTTGCGTGTGTTGTGTGTTGCGTGTGTTGCGTGTGTTGTGTGTGTTCGGTTGGTCTTGGGTCTGATCCTATAAATGATAACTTGAATTGATTTTCATATTTCTGATTCTGTTTTCGAGTATTAAGATTTGCACTCAAAACTTAATAATTTATTCTTATTTTTATACGATTTTTACTTTCGGTTGCAATTCTTGAAACAAACTTAAGGCCATATTGAAGTGATAAGGATTTCAGCTTAGTGTACTGCCAATATATGTCAAATATTCAAAGGCGCTACTTTGGCAACTTACTATTTATCATTCGTATTCCATGTTCCAGGAACTTGGCATTCATTGGTTGTTGACGACCCCCAGCATCGCGGGTAACCATAGTAACCCCAGTGGGCATTCGGGCGGAGTTGTCTGCCCAGTTCAAGAGTTCCTTGCAGGAAGTTCCTGTGAATTTTACTCATGTGTTTCAAGCATATCGAATTAAAAAACTAAGGCAAGCATTATGACGAATTAGATGTAAGTGTCCTGTCTTGAATTTGGTCGTAGGATATGTTTTGAGCAATAATATCATTTCTACAATTACTACACATACGTTCACAAACTTCAATGGCTATCCTATCTGGTTTAGAAAACAATATTCGATAAACAATATTTGGAAAACCAAGCGAACCCAGCAAAGCATCCCAAGCCTTAACCTGCCCCATGACCAATCCAAGTCGGCATCCGAAGGCCCCCGACACCCATCCCCGTCACCATCCCAAGGACACGTCACCCATCCAAGTCACGATCCCAATGCCCCGTCACCCATACGTCACCATCCCAAGGCCCCGTCACCCATACGTCACCATCCCAAGGCCCCGTCACCCATCCCAGTCGGCATCCCAGGGCCCCGTCACCCATCCAAGTCACCATCCCAAGGACACGTCACCCATCCCAAGGCCCCATCACCCATCCCAGTCGGCATCCCAGGGCCCCGTCACCAATCCCAGTCACCATCCCAAGGCCCCGTCACCCATCCCAGTCAGTATACCAAGGCCCAATCACCGATCCCAGTCACCATCCCAAGGCCCCCGTCACCGACCCCAGTCACCATCCCAAGGCCCCCGTCACCGATCCCAGTCACCATCCCAAGGCCCCCGTCACCCATCTCAGTCACCATCCCAAGGCCCCCGTCACCCATCCCAGTCACCATTCCAAGGCCCCCATCACCCATCCCAGTCGGCATACCAAGGCCCCCGTCACCGATCCAAGTCACCATTCCAAGGCCCCCATCACCCATCCCAGTCGGCATACCAAGGCCCCCGTCACCGATCCAAGTCACCATTCCAAGGCCCCCATCACCCATCCCAGTCGGCATACCAAGACCCAATCACCCATCCCAGTCAACATCCCAAGGCCCCCGTCACCCATCCGAGTCATCATCCCAATGCCCCATCACCCATCCCAGTCACGATCCCAAGGCCCCGTCACCCATCCCAGTCACGATCCCAAGATCCCCGTCACCCATCCCAGTCACCATCCCAAGGCCCCCGTCACCAATCCCAGTCACCATCCCAAGGCCCCCGTCACCAATCCCAGTCACCATCCCAAGGGCCCCGTCACCAATCCCAGTCACCATCCCAAGGCCCCCGTCAAACCACCCCAGTCACCATCCCAAGGGCCCCGTCACCGATCCCAGTCACCATCCCAAGGGCCCGGTCACCAATCCCAGTCACCATCCCAATGCCCCGTCACCTATTCCAGTCACCATCCCAAGGCCCCCGTCACCGATCCCAGTCGGCTTCCCAGGGCCCCGTCACCCATCCCAGTCATCATCCCAAGGCCCCGTCACCCATCCCAGTCACCATCCCAAGGCCCCCGTCACCGATCCCAGTCACCATCCCAAGGCCCCCGTCACCCATCCCAGTCACCATCCCAAGGCCCCCGTCACCCAGCCCAGTCACCATCCCAGGGCCCCGTCACCCATCCCAGTCAGCATACCAAGGCCCCATCACCCATCCCAGTCACCATCCCAAGGCCCCCGTCACCGATCCCAGTCACCATTCCAAGGCCCCGTCACCCATCCCAAGGCCCAATCACCCATACCAGTCACCATCTCAAGGTCCCCATCACCCATCCAAGTCACCATCCCAAGGCCCCCGTCACCGGTCCCAGGCACCATCCCAAGGCCCCATCACCCATCCCAGTCAGCATACCAAGGCCAAATCACCCATACCAGTCACCATCACAAGGCCCCGTCACTGATCCCAGTCACCATCCCAAGGCCCCCGTCACCCATCCCAGTCACCATCCCAAGGCCCCCGTCACCCAGCCCAGTCACCATCCCAAGGCCCCGTCACCCATCCCAAGGCCCAATCACCCATACCAGTCACCATCTCAAGGTCCCCATCACCCATCCCAGTCACCATCCCAAGGCCCCCGTCACCCATCCCAGTCGGCATCCCAGGGCCCCGTCACCCATCCCAGTCACCATCCCAAGGCCCCGTCACCCATCCCAAGGCCCAATCACCCATACCAGTCACCATCTCAAGGTCCCCATCACCCATCCCAGTCACCATCCCAAGGCCCCCGTCACCCATCCCAGTCGGCATCCCAGGGCCCCGTCACCCATCCCAGTCACCATCCCAAGGCCCCCGTCACCGATCCCAGTCGGCATCCCAAGGCCCCCGTCACCCATCCCAGTCGGCATCCCAGGGCCCCGTCACCCAGCCCAGTCACCATCCCAAGGCCCCGTCACCCATCCCAAGGCCCAATCACCCATACCAGTCACCATCCCAAGGGCCCCGTCACCCATCCCAGTCGGCATCCCAAGGCTCCCGTCACCAATCCCAGTCACCATCCCAAGGCCCCCGTCACCCATCCCAGTCACCATCACAAGGCCCCCGTCACCGATCCCAGTCACCATTCCAAGGCCCCCGTCACCCATCCCAGTCACCATCCCAAGGCCCCGTCACCCATCCCTGTCGGCATCCCAAGGCCCCATCACCCATCCCAGTCAGGATGTTGTTATTAAAAAAAGTTCCATGTATGAATGCTCTTTCAACTCTTAGATGTCCATCGTAAACTTAATAAACTCGAAAGGACGACATATGAACTGTTTACTTGTTTGGTGAAACGCTCACGCATGGAGCAGTCTGATTCTGAATGTGGGATTCAAACCCTCGATCAGAAGGTCCGGACAGGACGCAGCTGTGAAGCGCAGCTGCGTCAAAGAAGCCCTCCCATGTATTAGGGGACCCTTGACACTTACCGTGCAGCGATGTCGAACTGTCGAGTTGCCTCCTCCATGATCTGAGTCGTATTTGTCCAGGTAGGATGTTGTTTTTTTACCAGGTCGACTGACTTTGTCTTATAAATTCCCAAACTGCCAAAATTCAGCGGTAGGTGTGGTCTCCAGGATTCGAAGTCGATGACTGCCAACCCGTTAAAGTTGGGGTCGGGGAGATACTGGTTCGTTACAGCTGCAGCCTTCCGGAAGTGTTCGGATAAGTTTCCTTCCTGAAATAAACCACACCCTTACAGCAAATCTAGTAATTGTTTGTTTGCTTTCCCCCCATTGTGTTAGGTTGTTATGACAAGCGTAGGGTACAGGGATATTCTGATCTGCACCCACTACATGGGGCATACTTCGTGGCAGACAGTTGTTGACTGTCTGACTGTCTGACCTGAGTACGACGTATATAATATGTAAAGTATATTTCATTGAGCACGGAGTTTATTTCGGAGCGGCGTTCACAAAAATATAACAGAATAACAGAATTTCAAAGGAAATGGCGGAAAGAGAAATAGTGCTAGAGTTTCTGAAGCTGTGTCACCAGGTCTGAAAAGTGCATTGCTCTGTGAAGAGTTGCGTCCCTTACATGATCGACAGGAATATCAGATTACGTCCCTTGGTTAATTTGTCAACACCATGTGAGTGAGTGAGTTAGGTTTAACACCGCTTTTAACAGTATTCCAGTTATATCGCAGCGTGTCAGCTTAATGTGGGAGGAAAGCCCGAAGTAATTCAGGTCTCAGACGTTTACCACTTCGGGGAAAACCCACGAGCACGGGTATGGTGCTGACAAACCTAGAAACATAATTGGGGCGAACCGGGATTCGAACCCACAATCATAGGTTTCTGGCGTGCCCAAGGGACACAACTCTGCACAGCGAATCGCGGCGCCTTAGACAACTGGGCCACCCGTGCCCCCGTTTCGCCAAAGTAGTATTCGTCGAGACCCATGTTAGACCGCCATGACGGATTAACTATAGTAATATGAAAAAATCGGGTGTTCTTTAACTTCTATTGAGAGCATAAGTTAGTAAGCAGATCGACGTTCACACCGTGTCTGTGGTTGATGAATTCACACTGCATGTGAACACTTAGTGAGCAACTATTGTGACCTTGGCCCAGTGTGGATTCTGGGTTCTAATTGGTCCAAAGCAACCTATGCTTGTTTGAGGTGACCAAAAGAATCGGGTGTTGGACTCAGTGACTTAAAAAATTGTTTGATTGCATGCCATCGTGCCCTAACATAATATGGTGCAGTCTGAACTTTTTAACAATCACTGGTCTGCCTGGCCTAGACTTGATTATTTCCAGACCGCCGTCATATAGCTGGAATATCGCTGGAATATCGCTGGCTGTGACGTTAAACAACAAACAAAGCATAACTATGACTCTTAAAGTCAGCAAAGCGCTCATAAAATATCTTGATACGCACCATTAAGCGAGGCAATTATCTCCTAAACTCACCTGCGGGATACCCCCATTTGAGGGGGTGTGGTTCTTACCCCCATAGAAAGGCCAGTCGCCATATCCGTAAAATATAACCATGTTTTCTCCAAAGAATTGATCATTCTTGTTTGTAACGATTCGATAGGCTGTCAAGTTTAAAATAGTCCCGTGCGAGTCACAACCACCAGAAGGAACATTCCACACGACGAAAAAAGGCAGATTTGGCAGCGTGTAGGGTGCTGTGCATCCTTTGGCAGCATCCCTCGGACTTCTCGCGAGAGTTGGGGGAGAGGTCAGACATATAAGGACAGCTACAAGGCAGAATAACACCAACATTGTCTTCTCGTTACCGCCCGTTGCTGTTTACAACTTCCTGCTTCCTGCACCGATCATGTGACCTCGTGAGTCACATGACCATTGTAAACAAACAACTCGCAGCGCTTCATTCGTTTCGCCGTTGAGGGGGACGGTTGCTGAGACTGGCAATCATGTGATGTGGTTGTACACGTCAACACCTTCATTTATCACACAGGTCAGTTGCTTGTTTGTGCTCAGTAGATCAGAAGATCTAAATTCTTCTTGTAACTACTACTACTACTACTACTACTACTACTACTACTACTACTACTACTACTACTACTACTTCTGCTGGTGCTGTTGCTAATGTTACTAGTTCTACTACTACTACTACTACTACTACTAATACTAATACTACTACTGCTACTATTACTTCTACTACTATTACTTCTACTACTAGAACTACTACTACTACTACTACTATTGCGACTACTGCTACCACTACTGCTGCTGCTACCACTACCTCTGCTACTACTACTACTACTGCTACTGCTACTACTACTACTACTACTACTACTACTACTACCATCACCACCACAGCTACTGCTACAACTACCACTACTACTACAACCACCATCATTACAAATACAAGTGTAGATCCGGGGTAGAATAGGTATTCAGCAACCCATGCTTGCCGTAAAAGGCGACTAACGGGATCGGGTGGTCAGGCTCGCTGACTTGGTTGATGCATGTCATCGATCCCAATTGCGTGGATCGATGCTCATGATGTCAATCACTGGATTGTCTGGTCCACAGTCGATTATTTACAGACCGCCGTCATATAGCTAGAATATTGATGAGTGCGGCGTTAAACGACAAACAGACAAACAAATACCACTACTACCACCATCACTACAAATACCACTACTTCAACTACAACCACCATCACTACAACTATCACTACGACTGATGCTACACAACTAACACAAATTATAACACGTGTAACTCGATCACGTACAACCAGCAGAGATACTGCATTCAAAGCGCGCGTAAAATATTCATTACATTGTCCTGCAAGGCTTACACTGGCACCTGAGAGACGCCATAATTTAGAATAATTTTACACAGTAAATGGCCAAGGGAGGTGGCCCACATCTGAGTCGTATTTAATCGTCATTAAAGATGCATGACGTAACATTACGAACAGTCGTCTACATATGTACGTGACCCGTGAAGATCCGGAGTAGAATAGGTCTTCAGTAACCCATGCTTGCCGTGAAAGGCGACAATGCTTGTCGTAAGAGGCGACTAACGGGATCGGGTGGTCAGGCTCGCTGACTTGGTTGATGCATGTCATCGTATCCCAATTGCGTGGATCGATGCACATGATGTTAATCACTGATCCGGACTCGATCATTAATTTTACAGACCGCCGTCATAACGCTGGAATATTGCTGAGTGCGGCGTTAAACAGTGTAAAATCAACTGTGTACGTTTCTGTTGTTTTAACACAAAGCAACAGAAAACATTCTCCACTGATGCGCCACGGAAACTGTAATCAAATGTGAGTTGAGAAACTGAAACTGAAAACAACTGTGACGACATTGACTACATGACTTTGCTGGTGGATTAATCTTCTAACTGTGTAAGAGGTGAGGTGAAATTGGGTTTAACGTCGCGTCCAAGATTATTGCACTTATATAGCGACGTGCATGCACGTGTTTGCGTGGCTGCTTGTACTAGTCCGGACTAATGCCGATTGATAGCGCTAGCTCACTGAGATACCATGGCGAAGTTTAACACGAATCCCCACTCAGACACAGTATACTGACTCCGAGCCGACCAGTCCTTGTTTTAGCCCCTTAAAGCCGGGCGCCAGACAGGGTAACAACAAGTACCATATTTTAACGTCTTTTGGTATGACGCGGACGGGGATCGAACCCCGGACCTTCCGCTCTCCGGGCGGACGCTCTACCACAAGACCACGGAGGCGGCCTAACTGTGCAAGAATTGACTTTGGTACGTTTTTGAATTTATGGAGGTATAAACGTTAGCCGGTGTGCACACATGTGTAACTCACAAATACAAAACAAACATATCAAAGTCAATTCTTATAAATAAATGTGTCAACAATTTCAACTACACAGTCGCCTCATGTGATCATTACACAATTGAACACATCTGGGATGAACTCGATCGACGTGTACGTCAACGTCAGAACGCGCCACAAACACTCCGACAACTGGCCAACGCTTTACAAGGAGAATGGCGCAGAATTCCGCAGGATAGAATTCAGTGCCGAGGAGATGCAGAGCCGTGATTGCTGCCCGGGGCGGTCACACGAGATACTGAGCTCAACGCTGCCTTGTGGCCTTATGTGACATGACAATGAACAGTTATCATTGCCTTTGTACAATGACAACATGTGACTATCGAGCTCCAAAATTTCATATTGGTATCTATGATATTAAATGAAATATATCAACTTTATTAGATAGAACACATTTACTAAAAGTCTACATGTGCGTTTCTTTTTTTGAGGAGTGTCATTCGAGGGCTGTTTGATGATATTGGTGGACATAATATTGATATTCAATATCCTCTTTAACGACAAGGGTTCTCTGTGATAGTGTTATGACGACATGTCACCGCTGGGGAACTGAGACCGCCAGACGTGGGGGTCAAAGTGGCGCGAGACGAACGTGACTGTAATGCATAGTTTGAACATGTGGGTTGGGGGTGGGATGGTAGGGTTGGTGTTGGGTGATGAGGGGGTGTTAGGGGTGACGAGGGATGGTAGCGATGATGAGGGGATTGTAGGGGTGATGACGGGGTGTTTGGGGTGACAAGGGGTGACGAGGGGATGGTAGGGGTGATGAGGGCCTGGCAGGGGTGACGAGGGGATGGCAGAGGTGATGAGGGGTGGTTGGGGTGATGAGGGATGGTTTGGGTGATGAGGGATGGTTGGGGAGATGAGGGGATGGCAGGGGTGATGAGGGATGGTTGGGGTGATGAGGAATGGTTGGGGAGATGAGGGGATGGCAGGGTTGACGAGGGGATGGCAGGGGTGACGAGGGGATGGCAGGTGTGATGAGGGATGGTTGGGGTGATGAGGGATGGTTGGGGTGATGAGGGCCTGGCAGGGGTGACGAGGGAATGGCAGGGGTGATGAGGGGATGGCAGGGGTGATGAGGGGATTGTAGGGCTTTGGAGGGTTGGTAGGGGTGAGGAGGTGTGGTGGGGTGTGGAGAAGTAGGGTGAAGACAAAGAGAGGTAGCTTGTGTAAGAATGCGTGGTGTTGTTGAGGTTGAGAAGGGTTTCACCACACACACACACACACACACACACACACACACACACACACACACACACACACACACACACACACACACACACACACACACACACACAAAAGGGGTCAACGCCAAAGGGATTAAAATGGATCCTGGAACAACGTATAATGAAATACATAAACAAAACATACCAAGGAATCGAACGAGATACAAGGCTGAGGACGGGGAATACGTACAGTGGCACACTAAATGAGCCATATCGCCCCGAGAAACCATCTATTAAAATTCCCATTACAATTATTGCTTTAACAACCTATGTTTTTGGAAAGAAGCCAGACGGAACACTTGGAACGAAAATGTGATGGTTTTTATCTCCTCAGAGGCAGATTGTCTTCAGAGAAACTGTCAATTATGGGTTCAGTAACGTATATAGGAGTCTGGATTTCTGGAGCACTACAGTCTACATGGTAACAGTGACATATCGGGTATGTTCAGATTTCACTGTCTCACCTCAAATGGCATTTGATCCGGGTTCACACAAGACGTTGTATGTCAACTATTTTTTGAACACTGGTTTAGCAGGGTCTCAACTCGACCTAGTCGTTATTCTGGTTAGACCAAGGTTCTCAACTCGACCTAGTCGTTGTTCTGGTGAGACCAAGGTTCTCAACTCGACCTAGTCGTTGTTCTGGTGAGACCAAGGTTCTCAACTCGACTTAGTCGTTATTCTGGTTAGACCGAGGTTCTCAACTCGACCTAGTCGTTATTCTGGTAAGACCAATGTACTCAACTCGACCTAGTCGTTATTCTGGTTAGACCAAGGTTCTCAACTCGACCTAGTCGTTATTCTGGTTAGACCAAGGTTCTCAACTCGACCTTATCTTTATTCTGGTTAGGCAAAGGTTCTCAACTCGACCTAGCCGTTATTCTGGTTAGACCAAGGTTCTCAACTCGACCAAGTCGTTATTCTGGTTAGGCCAAGGTTCTCAACTCGACCTAGTCGTTATTCTGATTAGACCAAGGTTCTCAACTCGACCTAGTCGTTATTCTGGTTAGACCAAGGTTCTCAACTCGACCTTGTCTTTATTCTGGTTAGGCCAAGGTTCTCAACTCGACCTAGTCGTTGTTCTGGTTAGACCAATGTTCTCAACTCGACCAAGTCGTTGTTCTGGTTAGACCAAGGTTCTCAACTCGACCTAATCGTTATTCTGGTTAGGCCAAGGCTCTCAACTCGACTCAGTGCTCAATATCATTTGCTATATCCCATATATGATCGCTTTCTCCTAAGTGAACGGGAACTTCAGAGCTTGCCTTACATTGTCGTAATGTGTTTTAAAAAAAAGATATATTTTGCACATAGCTTTAATTAAACACATATCTGGTTTTGCTGTAGCTGAAGGAGTTTTTTGGTCTCATCACAAAATCCCAGCCCCACCCCAACCGACCCCAACTCATCCCTAGATATAAAATTATCCGTTTACATTGTTTAAGTGTTCCCGTAATATACCACTTAAATTCTGACTTGCAATCTCTATCTAAATGGATTTCTTTCCAGCAAAGAAATATACCGATGAGGTTGTTTGGAACAAATGTTTTATTTTCTACTCAGATGTAGCTTCGTGGCGTCACATTTCTGGTTGTATGGGTTCGGTGTTATCTTCCTATTATAGAATCCAGTTTAACCGGTGCTGTGTAGGGTTGAAGAGCGTTATCACTGTCATCTCGCCAGACGAATACCCCAAGTATCGGTTCAACTAAAGTCTTTGGAGTAGTAGAGTTTGGTACCTGCAGCCATACAGAGGATCGGTTAGTTTACGCAGTGAGAAATTGAGTTATTGGTTTTGGTGCAGGAATAAGTTTAAAGATACTGTGTTGTTTTGACGACTATGCAAAAATTCGAATAAAACGTGACTGCGTGTTGGTTGATGTCAACCTGTAGAACAAAGAAGCAGGTGATGCTGTTTGACTGGCTGATGCTGCAGCACCAAAGTCTGGTGGTCATGACGGGGTATCCTTGCCTGCCGCTGTATCACACATTCATTTGGTCCCCATCACCCCTTTCCGGGCTCTACAGCTGACTTGCTTTGGTTGGTTTGTTGATTAACGCCGCATTCGGCAATATTCCAGCTATATACGGCGGTCTGTAAGACAGACAATCCAGTGATTCACATCATGAGCATCGATATGCATTTGGGATACGACGACATCCATCAACCAAGTCAGCAAGCCTGGCCACCAGATCCCGTTAGTCGCCTCTTACGACAAGCAAAGTCGCCTTTTACGGCAAGCATGGGTTGCTGAAGACCTATTCTACCCCGGATCTTCACGAGTCCTACAGCTGAGTAATGCCAATGACTAGTTGTGTGGTCTGCATCATTGTTGATCCCACGGCGTCGCCCGTCGCCGATGTAGTCCAGGCGCAATTAGTTACTAGGTAGGCCATCCATATTTCCTTGATGTGTTTTTTTCATCTCCAACCTCAACCAGAAAGTGAACGGACGGACGAAAGGAAATAAGAACATTATTTTTTAAAACTTATTTTGTAATTATTTTATGACATTTTAAAATTTAAACGCTTGGTACCAGGTTTTTAAAGAATTCATGACGAAGCTCGAATCGCTTTGCTTCGAAATCATTTTTTAATAAACATAGCTGAAGAAAGATCAAGCTGACCTGTTTTTTGTGTGTGCAATGGTAGTAGTATTTTTTTTTATTACATGGGGGTATAATTTTCCACAGCGGCAGGGAAAATTAAGATACGATTTTTAAAAATTATTTAACGTCGGAATGAAAATTCATGGCAGGCGGGAGCCTTATCGTTTTATTGAAAAAGTCTGACTGCGGCATACAACAATATCCGTTCATTTACTCATATTCTCAGCCTCTCATTGATTCAGTGTTGCTCATTTCGAGTCCGTTTGACGACAGCATACAAGGATATCTACGACATACTATCAGTACATCAACAACGTACGGCGCATCCGCGGTCTGACATGGTCGTTAGTGCTATCGTTGAGCGTTGTGGCCATGGTCGTTAGTATTATCGTAATGCTATTATTGATAATTGACTGTGCATCGTCAAAGCCGGGAAAATGAGTTAACTTGAATGTCAGCAAGATTGTTATCATAACCATTAATCATTCCCCTAATTCTGAATAATTCCAACTGTATTTCAGACCTTGGGTATTTCTCATCAATTTGTACCTCATGACAAACGGGCAGCGACGACCGAGAACCCACGAAACACGTTGTTTACATTGCGACTCTGAAACCAATCTAAAGCACAGCATGGAATTTAAAAGCAACTCATTTTATACAAGATAATATTTGCCTAATGACTACTATTCCCTGATTTGCTATATTCAATACACTTCCCCTGATGACTAGGTTTCTCCTTAATCACGGTCACTTAAAGCGACATGCCCATTTTGTCGCCAACTCCGGCAACGTCGTTCTCATGATTTACGTATTTGGTTGAATGTGATTTGTCAAACCTATACACAGCGATTAATTGATTGTTTAGAGCATCCTACTGATAATCTGATTTGAAACCGGTTCGGTGATTTCAATAATAAGACCCCTGTGTATAAAATAATTACGAGCAATCAGAAGCGATGTGTATCAAGTAACTAGTTTTATGAAATGCCTTTCCTTGATGTCATGTAATCCTTAATCGTTAAAAAATGTGTAATTTCGATTAAGCAATAACCATAGGCGTATGCAAATTATAGCTCTATGAAGTTCAGCAACTTAACCTCCCCTCTCCCATGATTTTCGTTCAAGTGTTACACATTATTAGTTTGTTTGTTTGTTGTTTAACGCCGCATTCAACAATATTCCAGCTATATGACGGCGGTCTGTAAATAATCGAGTCTGGACTAGACAATCCAGTGATTGATATCATGAGCATCGATCCCCACAATTGGCATCAGCCAAGTCAGAGAGTCTGACCAACCGATCCCGTTACTCGCCTCTTATGACAAGGATAGTCGCCTTTTACGGCAAGCATGGGTTGCTGAAGACCTATTCTACCCCGGATCTTCTCGGGTCGACATTTTAACATTAACGGGATGGGAGCGGTTGGTGGTTGGGCATTTTTGTGCATGTTTAATTTGATCTGATCAGCAACTTATCACTGAATAATTCCTTCTTGTTGCTGTTCGTGACTTTGCAAATGTTTTGGTGCTAAAAGACTCATGGTAAATAATATAAGAGACTCACCATCGGTATTGCCTTACTTCAGCAGTCACGTGCAGTCTAATGGGTGGCACTGAGTGAGTGATTATGGTTTTACGCCGCTTTTAGCGATATTCCAGCAATATCACGGCAGGGGACACCAGAAATGGGCTTCACAAATTGTACCCATGTCGGGAATCGAACCCGGGTCTTCGGTGTGACGAGCGAACGCTTTAACCACTAGGCTACCCGACCGGGGTGGCACTGAGACTTTGGCCTGCCATGAAAGATGGATGGGTTCCAGTACGACCACAAGGGGGCGCACCAGAAGCTGACTTCACGTGAACGGGGGATTGGAACCTGGATCTGTTAACTTCCGGCTCGGATTCACTTTTAGTTGTGTCCCTGTATGTTTTCCTTTGCGTCAAAACTAATCAATGCCATTCACAAGTATTTAGTGATGGGTTTCAACTTGTATTTGATAAAATTACCGACAGTAAGTAAACTACAAGTAAGGGCCCCTGGCTGTTACATTTCCTGAATGAGCTGAACGACCCTGTTTGTGGCCATGTAATAGTCACGACGTTTACAGTCTAATAAAATCAGATATAAGACAATAGAGGCAATAGTAGAATCGAGATATAATATGTCTAGGTATCATCGGTTGTCTGTTAGGTGATGACTCACTCACTCACTCATGCCTGTGTGTGTGTTTGTATGTGTGTGTGTGTGTGTTTGTGTGTGTGTGTGTGTGTGTGTGTGTGTGTGTGCTTGTGCGTGTGTGTGTGTGTAAGATCAAGTCGAACTTCAGCATTAGAATTGGTAAACTGTGAATTGTGATCTTGTCTAGTTTCATCGGAGCCTCTGATAATTGCGTGTGTGTTCAGTGGTTGCTAGCATGTCTGTCAAACGCCATCTACGTGTTGTCAGCATGTCATGCTGTGTACCGAAATCTGTGATCCTGTTTAGCTTAACAGTAGGAATTACCTACCGCTATCTGTGACCCTATTGAGATTAACAGGAGGAATTATCTATCGTTATCTGTGATCATGTCGAGATCAACCACAGGTATAGTCTTCCCTAATCTGTGATAAGACATAGCTTAACTTTAAGTATTGTATACCGTTATCTGTGGCCCTGTTAAGCACAACAGTGGGAGTTGTCACCGTTATCTGTGACCCTGTTAAGCTTTACAGTAGGAGTTGTCTACCGTTATCTGTGACCATGTTAAGCTTAACAGTAGGAGTTGTCTACAGTTATCTGTTACCCTGTTAAGCTCAACAGTAGGAGTTGTCTACCGTTATCTGTGACCCTATTAAGCTCAACAGTAGGAGTTGTGTACCGTT